CCTAGTAGTAGGAAAGGCGACCTAAGCTTTAGAACATCCACCTGCCAAATCTAACTGCCTCTTTCGATATGGTCGTCAGGCTGCTGATCAATTACAATATCAGTTTGGTCCCGGTGACCAAACCGCCTCGTTTCAATATGAAATTAATTTTTTTTTTTGGTTTATCGTTATTGATTTACATATACACAAAATTCTGGTGATGACCCTCGGTGGCGATAAATAGTAATTTTCTAATTTTAATATGTAATATATCTATTATGCCCCACTGCTATGTAGGGATGGATCGGTCTTCGTAAAGACTGGGACTTGGATGGTAACGAACCAAAGACCGAATTAATTTCGATCCTGGGTCCAGTCCTAGGTCAGATTGCGGTCCTGTAATTAGTTAATAACGATATAAGTCAATAAAAAAAAAAAAAAAAAAAACCAATAAAGTGATAGAATTTACTCATAACCCTTCCAATAATGAGTAGTAGCAAAGATTTCTTGCTTTCATTTTCTAATATTTCTCAAAAGTATTAAGTCACACAATGATGTTATTATTAAAAGTATACTCTAATCAATGAAATAAATGTTGAAGTTTCAATTCATAATGATCAAGTGTCGAAATCCCAAATAATCCCAAATTCTAATGATAAAATTGACAAAACTTCAATCCATGATTATAAAAAATCAAAAATACAATCAATAAATCTGTAAATACTTTAATATCAACGATAGTAATAAATGCGATAATATGATTAAAAAATCGCGAGACTTGTTCTAGGATTAGAAAACGGACTGACCGGTGTTACGAACTGGGGAGAGCTATCGATCATACGGCACCAATTTAACTCAGAGTCGTAAGCATAAAGTTGAGGTAGGTTAAACGAATATTATGTATTATGGTATTTACAGGATTTATTATTATGGGAGAGCAGAAAGATGATATTTACGTATTATTAGAGAGCGATTATAGAATTGTTTTATTGTAAGGGAGCTGTTTTATTATTAACGAGCCAAAGAAGTTATTTCTAGATCATGATTCCTTTTTACATTATTAGTTTAAACATTGTACAGTTTAACTACCGTATCAATCTGATCTTGGGTCTCAGACCCAGACTTGGGTCTCAAACCCAGATTTTGGGTCTCAAACCCAAATCTTACCAAATAACGTAATAGCAAGATCTACGTAATGTTACAGCTATTTTCATTATTCCTGATAATTCCCCGATCACTATATCAAAATCATGGGTATCGATGCAAACATTGTCTATCGCTATGATTACAAATTTTGGGTAGCGACATAATATGTCACTGCTTTTATTAATAATGATAATGTTTGCAAACTTTAATAATGAGGAACTATTATTACTAATGTATATCGATATTTTAGTGCCATTATAATCTCTGTTAAATATGATATACTTTTGTTAGAAAATAGTCGAAAAAAATTTGGAAGTCTTATCAGTTCCGAGTTACATTATTTTAAAACAAGTTATGAACTTTTATTATTATTATTATTATTATTATCACATTGTGCAATGTAGTTAATATAAAAGTCTATCTTATACTGTATTCAGAATCTTGTTTATGTGTGTGTGTGTGTGTGTGTTTTTTTTTTTTTTTCTTTTGTTGTCGAATGGTTTGATAAGAACCGTCTTTACTATAAGATTCCATACACAAAACATACTGTTGTACTTGACAAACATTTAAATGAAAACTTAGTGTTGATAATGTAACACTGTGTACGTAGTATACAAGAATATTATATTTAGAAAAAATTATCTTATTACCGGGAGCTATTGATATCCACCCTTATATTACTTGTGTTACATGAATCTAAAAAAAAGTAAAAACAAATAAACAAAATTTTCTTTGACTTTAAGGTTAGGGCCAAGAGCTGGGATTATATCCAATGTTCGAAATTTGTGTTCTCAGAGTTCTCATGAGAACACTATTTTAAATTTGAGAACGGTATAAATTTTATACTGTTCTCTATCAAAGATTTTTTGAGAACAGTAAAATAATAAAATAATAATAGTGTTCTCATAAGTTTAATGACGTGGACAATATTATAAAGTAAATTTGGTCAGTTTTAAGAAAAATTTTGGATAAGATAGAAGTAGACAATAAACAAACATCAAAGGCGAGCATTATAGTAGCATTATCTATTATCTGTCAGATTCATTTTTTAATATAATAATATCTTTTTGAGAACCTACATTCCGATTCATTTTTTAAGATAATTATATTTTTTTGAGAGCAAGATTAGCAGCTCGAGAACACTTGATGGTAAACACTGTTCTCAATAGAACAGGATTTGAAGCTGAAATTTCGAACACTGATTATATCTAGGATTTTAACAAAGTTTATAGTAAAATTTTGCGTAGAATTTTTTTGTTAGATATTTACAAAAATTTTATTTTTGTTACACCTGATCTTGCAATTTATTTATGCAAAATCAAATATCGGATAGTTACAGCTGTTTTCATAATTCCTGGGCCACCCTAAAAAAATTTGCCGAAGTCTATTCGGCCGAAGCCGATAAGTAATTTATCTCGGTGTTACACAACATATATAAATGCATAATACTGTAATACTTGTATACCAGTACGAATCAATATCTAAGATTTTTTAATTCGTCAAAAATATGATACTTCCAAAACATACGCGTTGGAAAATAGTTGAAAAGAACTTGGAAGGCTTGTTATCTAGAGTAATTGCTAAACACTTGGGTGTTAGCAGGGCTTCTGTGGGTCGAGTTCTCAAGCAATTTCAAAAGTATGGCTGTGTTGAAGACTTACCATCACTTTCAGGCCGATCTAGTTTATTAAACATAGATGATATCAAATATCTCAAAACTTTTATGAAAGAAAAACCAGATTGGTATTTGTATGAATTATAATCAGAAATGGAACTATGGTTAGGATACACGATTAGTCTTACGACAATTTGGAGAGCTATGCATCGACTTGGATATACAAATAAACAAGTAAGGTTTTTTTTTTAACTATATATTTTAATTTATGAATATAATATTAATATAAGATATATATTTAATATATAGATTTCAAAACTTGCTAAAGAAAGAAATAAAGTTGATAGAGATAATTTTGTTATACGAATATCTCAATATACACTAAGTCAATTAGTCTTTTCAGATGAATCTGCATATGATCAAAGAACTTTATCACGTTGTTATGGTTGGAGTTTTTCAGGATTACGTACTCAAAAATATATATTCTTTGTTAGAGAGAAACAATTTACTATTGAAGGTGTTTTATGTATCGATGGTCTTTTGGCCTATAGTATTCAAGAAGGTTCAATGAATACTAAAGATTATGATGATTTTATCGAATTTGTTTTAGTAAATAATTTTAATATATACTATTGCTTATTTATTTATTATGTTTATAATTTACTGTATATACCATAATATTAATAAAATATTTTAAATATAGTTACCAAAAATAAATCCATTCCCTGGACAATATAGTATATTAGTTTTAGATAATGCAATTATACATAAAAGTACATATTTAGAAGATTTATATAGAGAAAAAGGAGTTAGATTAGAATTTTTACCTGCATATTCACCTGATTTTAATTCTGTAAGTAATTTATTTTATAAAAATTTTATAATAATTTAATGTTTTAATATAATTATAATTTTTATTATTTAATAGATTGAACAAACTTTTTTTTATATAAAAAATTATTTACAACAAAATAAGATTTGGGTTGAATTAATGCCTAATCCTTTAGAAGTTTTAGATCTTACTTGTATGATGATTAATAGAAAATTAGCATATGCATGTTATCAATATTCTGGTTATATATATTAATGATTTATTAAATAAATATTATAATAAATTTAAATATAATTACAAATTTAATATAACTTTATATATATATAATACTAGACTAATTAATCAAATAAATCATCAAATTTTATTTTAATATCTTCTACCTTAATCTAAATATTAATATGCTCCTCTATAAATATTTGACTAATAATTTGCTCAGGTAAAAAAGTTTTACTATTTATATCTAATGATGATTTAATAAGAAATCATTTTCTTTTTAGTAAACTATTAGGAAATATAAAATTAAGTAAATCCTGAAATATCATATTATTAGTAATATAAATATTAGATTTAAATAGTGATTTTTTTTTAGTATAAATTGTTGCAAAATGAAGTTTTAATATAGTTGTTAATAGAGAAATTGTATCAATAGTAGATGTAGAAGTAGAACCAATTATAGATGTAGAGGTAGAATTAACTATAGATATAGAAATAGAATTAACTTCAGATATTAAAGTAGAATTAATTGAATCAATTGTAGATGTAGGATTAAAATCAACTATTAATATAAAAAATAAATTTAAATATTGATCAATAAAATAAAAATATTTAATATTATAATATATAAATATATTTATACTTGATGAATCATTATTTGAAGTTTGTCTAAATATTGGATATCGATATTTAGTTTTGTCAAATAATGAAATAATTAGTAGATTTTTTTTATCAATATCTTGCATTTCATTAAGCTTTATTTAAAAAAATTAATAAAATATATTTATAATATAAAAATATACAAAAATAAAATTGCAAATAATTTAATTTTTTTTTTTTTTTTCAGCAATCATGCTAATACTTTATTTAATCAACAATTTTAATCTATGACTAAAACATTTCTA